TAACAGGATATAAAGCTGATACAGCCATGGAGCTGTTAGTATAAAAGCGTGATGTGTTGTAGCATATATAACCTCTAATTAAGCTATTGAGCGTGAATTTTAATTATCCAGAACGAGTTACTGTTGCCGGGTTATTTGCTGTGTTGAAATTTTATGTTCAACCAACTGCAAGTAAGCCAAATTTTTACTACATTATGTTAAAGTGTAAACTCATTTCTTATTTGATAATCTTATACTGAATATTTAATTTTAGCTTATTGGTTACGATTAATATGCCTTTTTATCGAATTTCCATCCCTTAGTTTATGGTTTATGTAGTAATATTTACGTATGTGTAATTCAAGAGTTTAACTTGCTTGTAGGCTTATTTGTAGAAACCAGTAGAGCAATGATACATTTTATAATCTTTGGGTATGACAAATTTGACAAGGATACCACGAAGTATGATTTGTGAAAAGGTTGTACTTTTATCAAAATATTGTTGCGCTGTTCCAAAGTATCTATATATATAATTCTCTTCTGGGAGCCAAGAGAAAATAAAATACTTAAAAAAAAACTTTTTAAAAAACCACGTTTTTCTTGTGGACTAAAAAGTAGAAAATAACTATTTACATACATTTGATGACAAAAAACGTGGGTACGTTCACCATCAAATTTCCCGACCCATCTGCCCGACCCACGTTTTTTGTCATCAAATGTATGTAAATAGTTATTTTCTACTTTTTAGTCCACAAGAAAAACGTGGTTTTTTAAAAAGTTTTTTTTTAAGTATTTTATTTTCTCCTTTTTAGTCCGTTGCTACACATGAAAAACGTGGTTTTTAAAAAGTTTTTTATATAGTTTATTTTCTACTTTATCTAATCACTTGATTAAGTATGACTTGACTAAGTGTTTTTAAATACACGGACTAAAAAAATCTTGAGCGACCGATACGCTTTAAACAGAGAAAGGGTGTAATTTACGTTGCTGGCGTGGAGATCTACTCACGAATCACGTGATCAAATCTCCCATAAACAAACAAATAAACGCGAAGCTGAGTTAAGGAAAAACGTGTTTATGTGTATTTTAGCATGCCCAGCGTACCAACCGTGTCACCGTTAACAATGTGTTACCGTGTCCGTTCTCCTTTTTAGTCCGTTGCTACACATAAAAAACGTGGTTTTTTAAAAAGTTTTTTTTAAGTATTTTATTTTCTCCTTTTTAGTCCGTTGCTACACATGAAAAACGTGGTTTTTAAAAAAGTGTTTATAAATACACGGACTAAAAATCTTGAGCGACCAGGATTCGAACCTGGGTTGTCGCGGCCACAACGCGAAGTACTAACCACTATACGATCACGGCCAGCGCGCTCACATCGATTGGGGCCGAAGTAACTGTGTCAATAGGACTGCAGTCTTGTCGGTTTCTTTAGAAATCATGTCCTCAATTTTATGGTCCTTGGGGCGTAATTAAATTAAGCTAATTACGGTCACTAATTGCTAGTTTTTATGATTGCATCTGAAATTGTTAGGCGAAAGTAGCATGCATGCCAAATTTCAGGTCTCTAGAGCAATTAGAAGTGGGCTAATTTTCGATGTCAATTTTAACAACAAACATCCAAACAAACAAACAAACGCGAAGCTGAGTTAAGAAAAACGTTTTAACAAGCTGCAAGCGCCTCCTTGCAGTCCCCTCTCTTTCTCTCTATCACTATCACTACCACCCCCACCCCACCCCCACATGGTCTGGTGAGTTGTGGTCATGCTGTGTTTACAAATCGTAGAGACGGGTTTAGTGACGGCTATTAGGGGCAGATAATTTAGTTTGAACCGATTTTAAACTTACAGGAGGTAACTAAGAGGAGGCTGCTTTCACGGGGGGTGGGGGTGGGGTGTAGGGTTTGGTTAGGGGAAAAGGGGGGGGGGGGGGTTAGTGTTTTAAAGCAAATATTTTCAGTCGCAGCATTGGTACTGTCGAATTCACAAATTATGAATTACTGAAAAGTAGAAAATAAAACAACTAAATAGCGGCGTATGATACGCTGCGGGTCGGCTCGTATTTTTTAATAGATTCTAGTTATAAAATAAAAACACAAAATACAACAGCATTCACTTTATCACTGCGCTGTCACTCGACCAGTCACTTCCCCTGTTACCCTCGTTCACGCCGTACAACATACACGTCAACACACCCGCTGTCACTCGACCAGTCGCTTCCCTTGTTACCCTCGTTCACTCCGTACAACAACATACACGTCAACACACCCGACCTCGCGCACCACTACTAGACATCAAAACCCCGCAAGTTGGTTTGACTGGGCATACGGCTGAGAACGGAAGCAAATAGCGTCAAGTAGGAACTAATCTGGAATCAATAGGGTAAAGGAAATTAGCCGGGATGAGAACGTCCTGGAGGAACATAGAAAGTGAAGCAAGGACTGCTGGACTTAATTGGGTCCAACTGAACAGAGTTGCCGATACCGAGTATGTTAGGAAATTGTAGCTGCAGCCCCTTTGCTCCACAATGGCCTCATGGGGTAAACTCTTTAAGACCGTAACGTCACTCCCATCTGTCGACAGGCCGGCCTTGCATGCCGTAAAATGTTCCTAGCATCATCCGATATAATCTGACAGTTATTAAAATAGTTTTATTTTAATTTAATTTTAGACAGCTTAAAAATACAAAGAAAAATAAAATAATGAAAAATTCGTTTTGAAAATGGACGTAAACATTAAGTTTTAAATTCAAATAACGCGCATCATTCGTCATCATCTATTTTCATTTGTAGCCCATCTGGAACAGCGGACTCGGTTTTGGGCTGCTCCCTTTATCTGTGCCCACGTGAGCTCAGCTGTCTTAGCCTCTTTCTCTACTGTTCTTCCCCATGGTCTTTTTGACCGGCCCACTTTCCTGTTTCCCTGAGGATTCCAGTCCATAGCATTTTTTGCTATATTTCCGTCTTCCCTTCTTAGCATGTGACCAATTCATCCCCATTTACGGACCTTGATATCCTTCTGTATTGGCTGTTGTTTTGTATTTTGCCACATGTCTTTGTTTGGTATAACGCGCATATTATAACTTTATTTTTTCGAAAATTGTCAATAAATAGCATCCATACGGTTAAAAAAAAAAAAAAAAAAAAAAAAAAAAAAAAAAGACTTCCTACTAAGGGAGATAAACTTTACTTAAAAGGCTTAAATCAAACTTACGAAAGAAAACACGCAAAAATAAAGACACAGCAATGAATTAAGTTTCAATTTAATATTTATTAATTTTTTATTATATTGTTATATCAAATGTAGCTAAAAATATAATAAATTGTAAAGCTGTGAACTTTAACTTAAGTGTAACTGAAAAAGGTACACGTTAAATTTAATTTATATTTGTTTAAAACACAAGAGAATATTTTCTCTCTACCTACGATAGCATTGTGTAGATCAAGTTTTTAACCTAAATTTTATGTATGGATCTCTATTAAAATAGGGACAATCAATTATCTTAACTTAGAATTGCAGCCACAATCGTCCAATACAATTTTGACTAAACTAAACACGTATTTATATATATATATATATATATGTAACTAGGGTAGGCCTAACTACTAGTTACAATCTGATGCAACTGATAACGAACGATAAGCCGCGACGCAGTATTACAGTCTGATGCAACTGATAGCAGGTGGCTTATTAATCGGACTGATAACAATCTCAAAGCCAACGCGTGCTATTTTGGGAAACGGTACGAGGGGATTCAGACGGCCTGTCAACTTTGAGTGATAGGATGCAGATGTTTTATTAATCGGGCTGTACGTTAGAACTGCGCAACTAGTAGTCGGAGACATCGATTACAAATATCGATTACGGATGAATACAAGTACGAATACGAGTACGAATACAAGGGATAAATAGGAGGGGACGGCGGAGCTCGCTCTCTCTTTCGATCGCTCGCTTTAGATCAGTCAGTCTGTGTGACAGTTGGTTATAGAACGGGTTAGCCGTCTTGGGTTAAGAAGGACGATAGACATGTGGATTCAGTTATATGAAGCCTAGTGAGGACTGTTAGGGGTCAGTTGATTCAGACTATTATTGTGAAGCATTCCTGTTGATTCATTGTGTTATTTTGAAGCATTTCTTGATTCATGTAATAAAAGGATCAATAGCGAACCTGCATCTTCGAGTATTTCTACTGTAGTCGATGTTGTGTAGAATGAGTGGTTAAACTCGTTACATTTGGCACTACAGGCAAATAATCTCGTAACATGTGGCGTTGCGAGCAGGGTAACTGTTCGCTCGTTATATATATATATATATATATATATATATATATATATATATATATATATATATATATATATATATATATATATATATATATATATACATATAAAGATATTTATATACTCACACACACACACACACATATATATATATATATATATATATATATATATATATATATACATATAAAGATATTTATATACTCACACACACACACACACATATATATATATATATATATATATATATATATATATATATATATATATATATATACTCTAACCCTAACACAAAATAGATGTTCTCGTCAAATAGACCACTTTAATCTTGTTGACTAATAACTATAAACATTTCTTAAACAAAATAATAATTTGGTTCAACATATACTAACTCGCCTGTGTTTTTTTTTTCTTAAACACAAATATGACATTCTGTTGAATCACTGGACATAACGCTGTTAGAGGTTAATTAAAAACTGTTAGTGTTCAGGCATATAACTACGTAGCTAAAACTATGGCTGAGGATGATATACTGAATATTTGTATAAATCTTCTCTCGTGAACATTTAATCTTCTTCAGAACTTAAACTTTATTTGTCTTTATGGGGCTTAATTCACTGTAATGTAATACTGCATTTTACAATTGTTTAAAAAAAATCAGTTATAAAAACGTTCGTTTTTGCAAAATATAATTGACATTTTCTTACATATTTTGTTCACGTATACTGTTGCATATGATCAACAGATTTTCTAGTGTGTACACAATGAAGACATACGTGTACAGTGTACGCCTCGTGTGTGTTCTGGCGTGTCTAGTGATGGCGGTTGATGGTCATGGGCGTCTCTGGGATCCACCAAGTCGGAGTTCAATGTGGAGGAGGGGGTACAACACCCCTGTTAACTATCAGGATAACGAGCTCTTCTGTGGGGGATTTAGTGTGAGTTTATGTGTATGTGTGGGGTGAGGGAGGGGGATACAAGACCCTTGTTAACTATCAGGATAACGAGCTATTTTGTGGTGGATTTAGTGTGAGTTTATGTGTGTGTAGGGGGTGAGTGTGAGGAGGGGGTACAACACCCCTGTTAACTATCAGGATAACGAACTCTTCTGTGGCGGATTTAGTGTGAGTTTATGTGTGTGTGGGGATCAGTGTGTGTGTGTGGGGGTGAGGTGAGGGAGGGGGTACAAAACCCCTGTTAACTATCAGGATAACGAGCTATTTTGTGGGGGATTTAGTGTGAGTTTGTATGTGTGTGTGGCGGGGGAGGAGGGTGAGTGTGTGTGTGGGGGGAGTTTACAACACCCCAGTCAATTATCAGGATAACGAGCTATTCTGTGGGGGATTTAGTGTGAGTTTAAGTGTGTGTGGGGGTGAGGTGAGGGAGGGGGTACAACACCACAGTGAACTATCAGGATAACGAGCTATTCTGTGGGGGATTCAGTGTGAGTTTGGGTGTGTGGTTGTGGGGGGGTTAATACACCACTGTCAACTATCAGGATAAGTAAAACTGTTGGTAATTTAGTGTGAGTTTGTGTGTGTGTGTGGGGGGGGGGGGGGTTGCAACACCCTAGTCAACTACCAGAATAACGAGCTTTTTTGTGGGTAATTTGTGTGAGTTTGTGTATGTGTGTATGGGGGGGGGGGTATAACACCACAGTCAAAAATCAGGATAAGTAACAATTCTGTGGGGAATTTAGTGTGAGTTATGTGTGTGGGGGTTAAGCGTGAGTTTTGGGAATGCTTGGGTTAAGTTTGTGTTGTGTGTGTTTGTGGGGTGTGTGGGGGGAGGGGGTAATGTGAATTTGAGTATGTGTGGGTTACGTGTACCTTTGGGTGAATGGGGTTTAAGTTTGTGTTATATATATATATAAGGGTTTAATATAAGTTTACGTGTGTTAAGTTTAGAGTCCGGTGATTTATGGTGGCTGGCCATTTTATTACAGAGGTGTCTAGGTTGGGGCTAATAAAACGCCGATTTTTATTTTTTTTATTCTTTTTAAGAACTTCTTGACTGAAATATACTTTATTATACGGAATAAATTTAATTTTTAGATTTACGATATTTAAAAAAAAAAGTTAAATATGCACAATTTAAATTCTGACTTTGTTGTTTAAATTGTTGTATGTAACATCCAACCTTCAAATAGCGTGTTACCTTGTTAATCTGTTTGTAAACCTTTACGTCCCCAGCATCAGGTAAGTCTAGGCTACAAGTGTGGACTGTGTGGAGATCCTTATGACGGAGTTCGCGAGAATGAAGAGGGCGGCAGATACGCCACTGGACTAGTCACACGAACATACACTCAGGGGCAAAGGGCCACTATTCAAGTGGACATAACCGCCAACCACAAAGGTAATTAATTACAAAAATATTATAATAGCTTTTTCTAAAAAAAAATGTTTTATTTAAATTGTCAATCAAGCTAAAAGACAAATAGTAATATATGTAATGAATGCAACTCAATCATCAAGTGAATAGCTACACAATTTAAACTATTATGGCTACTTATTTTCTATTGTCTTAACTACGAATTCCCACGCTTCGGCGAAGGTTACTCTAATAACATTTGTATTTAAAATACTATAAAAATTTCTCTCTACATAGAAAACAGAGTAGGAAATATTTTGTGAATTTATAAACATATTATTATGTGACTATGTTTTAAAACATTTCTTTAGTATAAAAATCTGTTTTTATCATATCATTAAGTTTCCCCAGTATAATATAATATATGGACGTTCAACATGTTTTTTTTTTTACTGTTTTTTTTCTTACTAAATTCTTTGGTATTACCTTTTACAATTATTTTTCCACAGGATATTTCGAGTTTAAAATTTGCCCGACCAATAACCCTAAAGTGAGAACCACCCAGGATTGTCTTGACCGCTATCCTCTACAAATGGCCGATGGGTCGGGCACGCACTACAAGATCAGCGCGGAATCGAAGATGTTTTACGTTGACGTCATCCTTCCCGCGGATCTCACCTGTGACTTCTGTGTGCTACAGTGGCGCTACCACGCAGGTAGGTCAAGGTCAAATGCGGTGTCTCAGTTTAGGAGGTGAAATTACCCCCCCCCCGTAAATTACCCCAGTCCTGCTCTGTTATTACCCCCCAGACCAACTACATCCAACCCCACCACCCCATGATATATATCTGCCTGTTCAGTAATCCCCAGTCTTAGAAACTACACTAGAGGATGAAGGGGGTGGTAATGTTCTTCTACCATTTCTATCTGGATGCATTTAGACATATATTTTTCCAGATTTTTATCTGTCATTGTAAATTGTAATTTAATATGCACAATTAAAGCCAACATATATATATATATATATATATATATATATATATATATATATATATATATATATGATTATGTATATCCAACCAGGTAACAACTGGGGCCAAGATCCAGACGGTAAACAATGTGTGGGCTGTGGGTACCAAGAAGAGTTCTATGGCTGTGCTGACATACGAATCCTGCCAGCCGGAAGTTCTGGAGCTGCCACCTTCAAGCCTGTGTACCCAGCAACACAAACATTCAAGCCTGTGTACACAGCAACACAAACAACACCCAGGACATCCCAGCCTCAAACGACTAAAAGGATTTCAAGTTTCGCCTCAGCGAAGACTTCGATGAGCAGCGGATCTTCCAGTAATGGTGTGGCCAGTCAGATCAACGGGGAGGAGATGTCTTGTACAGGTGTGGCAGGCAGGAGAGACCTCGACACCTGGTGCCAGGTGAACTGTCAGGTGGGGAACTGCCCATCGACTCACTGCACCTGCAGGAGCCAGCCGTACGTGTATTACGGGGAGAGACCGGCAGGATGCCGGGCTGCCGGAGCTTATGCGGCTGTTCCCGGATATGATAATTGGTGTATGGTCAACTGCGCAGCCGACTACTGCCCGAAGACCATATGTGTATGCACGTGATGCGTGTGAGGTACACAACACACGTGCAGAGACAATGTACCCACATACAAGGGAATTCCGATTAACAATGTCCAACAAACAAAAGACTCTTCTAAAAAGAGGTCTTAAGTTGTATTGTAATGTCATCTTTAGCTTTAGGGTCAGATTTTAGATAAAGTCTATGTATAAGCTTGGTTTAGACTTTGTATTAGGGGTAGTTTAGTGAAGACATTGCTCTTAAAAATAGTTACTGTTTTACTAACAGTATATTTAACATTTTGACAATCTTCGGATACTTTGTTATAATCGGAAGCAGGTTTCAAAAATAGGCCTAGCACCCCCCCCCCCAACCCAAAAAAGAAAACTTAAAAAAACCACCTATTTTTAATGTAGACCTAGACATTTAAAATTATACACTATAGGGCCTACTTGTCCCACCCTAAAAAGCTTTAAATATGCATTAAAGTGTGACAACCAAAAAAAAACTAAAAGTAAAAAATGCTTGTATGTCTACTCTAATATTTCTGAACTTGCTGATATATAACCTATAAATATAAGAACCATGTATTCTAAGTTAAATGATTGTATTAAGAGCATAATAATCAAAATATAATTACAGAGCATCTGATTTATGCCTTGTTGGCATTTACAATTTTCCATTTGCGGATCTGAAGTGTTCGTGTTGGGTACCACCAACGATTTAAAAATCTCCCTGAATGACTAACGTTTTAGGAATACTTCTCAATGGGCTATACATATTATGAATATGCTTCTGTGTTCAATAATTGCAAAACAAAAAAAAATTAATAATTTAAAACAATATTTTTTTTAAAAATGCATTTATATATCATCGAATTAAAAAATGTGTGTTGTTAAAATGTTATGATAATGTATAAAATTATTAACCACCCTGCTAGTATTTTGTGTGAAGTTATTTTTTTTAAAATTTGCTTTTCTGCAGTAAGATCAGTAGCGTAGCGAGGGGGGGGGGGGGCGGGGCGGTGGGGGGACTTATGTCCCCGGGCGCCAACCTTAGGGAGTGCCAAAATGGGTTGGAAAAATAAATTCAAAGGTTGAAGGGGGTGCAAATCGAAAGTTTGAGAGCAGGGGGGGGGGTGCAAATCGAAAAGTTTGTCCCCAGGCGCCGGGAAGGGTCGCTGCGCCTCTGAGTAAGATTGTAGAAAAATTCACCCAGTGACTCCTTTGTTTTAAGGTTGACATTTACTCTCGTCTGTTGTATGACATTCGGTCAAGACAGGAACAACTATACAGAATAGGGTATCTAATAAAATATCGGATTAAACAACATTCTCTTTGTTTCTAAAAAAAATAAAAATAAAGCAAATACTTATAATACACGTTATGGGCAAATGATTTGTCAAAAACATTTAAGACAAAACCTTAGCTAAAGTCTAAATAGACTTATATTATCGATAAACAAATGAACTGTTTGTAGATATAATAAACCGGGAGTGATCTCCCCTAAACTTTCTCGAATATTCTTATACAACACCACCGGGGATGGCAGCGCGGGATATGGAAATGATTTTTAATCAATTTTTAATTACTTAAACTTTTTAAAATAGAAGAGAATCTCGTAGAAAAAAGACTTGCTCACCAAGTGAACGCCAAATAATATGTGTATACTAGTGCAGAATATTACTAGTACTTATAAATTCACCTGCAGTTTTTGAGAAATCGGAAATAGCGTAAATTACTACTTCCGGTCAATGGAAATTACTCAAAATTTGTCAGTAGGCAAAAAATTAGATCTTTTACTTACACGCGAAATTTCATTTATCTATCTGAAATAGTACTCAAATTATAGGCTTTTGGAAAATTCAAGATAGAAAAAGTTCCACTTCCGGTTACCGGGAATCGCTCAAAAGTTGAAACAGAACTACAAATTTGATATTATACTTATATACTTATAAATTTCAGCAACCTAGCTGTAACGGTACTCAAGTTATCATGTTTACAGACACATACATACACACACACACACACAAATACACATGCACACACAGACATACGGATAAAATTGCAAGACTTTTTTTTCCCACTCAGGGAGCTGTAAAACGTCGAGATTTGCAAAAAATCTCGATTTTTTTTTCACGATTACAATACTTTCTCTATACTCTGTATACGAGAAAGTGAAAATATGCTATTTATTAAAGGGAGGTAACAACATCGTAAACAACTAAAATCAGTAACATTATCTATAGCGTGGATAAACAGTAAACACTAATATATTAAGTCTGTTTTAAATCACTTTTACAACTAAACAAATGTTTTTGGCTGACATTGATAAATTCATTTAATTTGTTTGAGAAAAAAATTCATAAAGTAAGTGTAAATATTACCTAACCTGAAGCCTTTAGTTTTTTTCCCCCACTTTGATTTTAAATAATTGAGCTTTAATTTTACATTTTGGTTGCCCTCAAACATTTGTACATTTATTTATGGATCCCTGAAAACAAAGGGACACAATACAAAACACAAAACCAAAGGTTTGCTCGTAATGCAAATGAGTTTCCATCATGCAGTCTCACGTTAATTCTATATGGAGGAAAATAATAGTAATGCATTTCCTCAAGATTAGGCATTTTAAAAAAAAAAAATGCTTAAAAACCAATTTCGCCAATGTGCCTAATTGATTTAATTTGCTCTAAATTAAGGGGTGAAAAACGAAATTCAATATGCATTGAAAAGAAGCATCAGAAGGCAACAAACTACAAAATACAGAAAAATCAACATCATCTTCTTTTTCCGACGTGCCCAAAATACACGAGACAAATGAAATGACGAAGTAGACTTCGTCTGTTTCAGAGACCTCGGCATATAAGTGGATAATGTGATCAGCACTATGCCGATCCGTCTTTGCTTTCCCTAACGTATGTTAGGTACCCGTCATGGTTGGTTGGACTCAGGGACGTTCTACTAACTTGAACCCGAATTCGAACTCGAGAGTTTTGGTTAGCAGTCTAGCTCTCTACCGATAGATCACGCCCCCCCCCCCAAACAGAAAAAATAATGTATGCTTTTTATAATTTACTTTACGATTAAGTTGACCAATTCAGTAAGTTCGAATTGACAACGTGTCTTGTACCAGGGGAGGGGGATGAGGTATCACAGTGACTGAAACTTGCTTAAAACATAGAGAGCGCCGTACAACATACAGATATGTGAATAGCTTACTGTTCATACAGTACAGGCTTATGTTATTATGACAGGGGGAAGTGAGGGTAACATGAACTGATCTACTTATATACGGACAGAGTGAAGGAGTCGAATTGAACTTTGAACTTTGGTCATGAGTCATGGCTTCATTTTAAAATAAAGATGGCTGATCTAACGGAGAAATTCGATTCTAGATTGAATATGTAGGCCTATAAAAACACAATAAATAATTAGCTTTCGTTTATAGATGTAACGATATAACTGTTTGTTGTTTCTAGTATGGTCCAACACTATTATCAATTAATTTACTCGAGAATACAAGCGATAAATAGACTTAAGCCGTTTGTTACGTCTGTGTTAAGTCGATCGTAGTAACTAAATTACACACAAAATAATTGAGGTTTTTTTTAATGAACTATTTCAGGTATTAAAGATTTCATATAAATCTTTGTTTCTTAACATTGGGATGGGTTAAATTAGGATATAATTTAATTTAAAAAATATATTTTAAATGTACTCTGAATGATATAAAGTATTTACACCCTAGGCAAGATGATAACGCGTTAGCTCATAACTAAGATGGTATGGGTACGAAACTTATGTAGTCATGGTAAATTTTGTTTGTTTGAATGTTCCCACCCAGAAAGTTGACAGAAGGAAATCTCAAAGCACACGAATTGCTATAAATCCTTGCTATTCTTGAATTTCTCGGAAATTGAAAAATGGAACAAAATTCTGGAACGTTTGCCTGAATCTGGAGCTCATGAAATAATACACGAAGATGCTTAAGCTCGAGTTAAAAGACTCCAAAAGGAAGCTGAACATAAAAAACACAAGGAACAAATTTTGTCTGCGATTCACGTCGAAGGGAGAGAATTCTGAATCAAAGATTGACCACAGTGTGTTGACGAAGGTTGGACCGGCGCAGACGATGTACACCATCGAGAGAAGTTTAACCATTTTAACAACTTTGACGTCTTTGTTAGAAATTTTAGATTTACCCGAGTTGAATTTCGAGGTGGCTGATTTCTGACGCCATTTTGTTTTCTTGTTTAGTTCCGTCACCATGACGACCGTGCAAGCAATGACAGCGATGAAGGAGCCGAAGGTGGAGATGACGATGTTGAACATGAAGGTGATGTTGTCGACCAGGTCGCTGTCCCAGCTGTAATAGATCCCGAACAATGTCCGGTTCAACTTGGGGTAGAACCTCAGCGCTGGACGGTTGGAGTAGAAGACGGGCAGGGTGCCAGCAATCACCAGCAGGAAGATGAGCGTCATCGTGGCGGCCACGCGCTTGTTGGTGAGGACGGCCTTGACCCTGAGCGGCATGGCGATACACAGGCACCTCTCGAACGTGATGAACACCGTGATCCAGCCACGGACCCGATCGAACGTGACGCGAACAACACCGCCCACGATGTAACGAAAAGTCTCGTACACGGTACACACATCCGAGCTGTAGTAGTAAGGGTTGTACCACACCGTCAACAGCCCCAGCATGACTAGCGACAACAGGTCGGCTATAGTAAGGCTAAAGAGACTTATATTCACACTGTCTTTTAAACCTTGTTTTAAAAAGATGATCATGTTAATTATGTTTGTGAAAATACCGAATACAGTGAGGAAGGTTCCTAAGTTGACAAGAAGTATAATCGTTAAAACCGTGTATGTCATTTCATCCATATCGGTAAATTCAGCCAGCTGATTTTCGAAGTGTTGAGTGAAATTCATCTTGACTTGTATACTATATCGAGTAGTAATCAATAAAGTAAATACGTTCTATTAAATCTCATGTTTCGCCACCACAATAGGCTAAAAAGATTTTGTTCAGTGATAGAATAGCAACTAAAACATAACATTTTGTTCATAACTTTTTACAGCGAATATTTTCTAATGATGTACCTTCTTTGGGGCTGGTCTTTCTATATGTTCTGTTCAGAGAATGCATTGGCGAATCCGTTAGATAATAATAATATAATGATTTATATGTCTAATAATATTCTTCTTTCATGCTGTTAATTAGGTGCACTTCTTATTTCACTTTGTTCAGGTCTTTACCAAAGTATTTTCAAAATACCAGTGTAGAATTTCAATTTCATTACTCAACTATCAAAAAGTAGTAGTATTTCACTCTGATAGTAGAATTCTAACGCGTCTGTACGTTGTTTTGTGTTTAAAGTAATGCGTTCAGAATAGTTTGGTGGTGTTTAGAATTTATCTAACACCTTACAATATTTACTCTTTGTAAGATGATGGGAGGTAATTTATAAATCCTTCCGTCAAACAAGAAAATCAATTTCCATAACAATAATAACACCATTACCTTCCTTTTCTGGCGCATCAAATTCTAATCTGAAGCCGACATAAAAACTACATACAAATGTTTATCATATTTTGCGTAGTTTTGTTTCGTCGGATAGTTTTTAATTTTTTATTTTACCCTAATTCAATAAGTTGTGTATGACGACCATGACTATTCAAGTCGTTATCTCTTTGTGATTCAGAATCTGTACAAATCTCTGACTAATCCAAATAACCCATGAAATTATGAGTCATACATATTACAAAATTGATACAGTAATCTAAGGGGCATTGCTAGGGGCATTGGCAAGGTGTAAATTGGAAATAATGTATAAAACGTTAACATTATATGGAAACGTCTTTGTTTACAAAATATATTACCATATATTGTGAGACGTGTTGATCAAAGTTTTTCATCTATAAATACCCATCACAACACAATGTGTGTTGTTTTGTAAACTTTAAGCTCATATATTTTATAAGATTCTTTGTTGGCTTTAAGAAAAGCTGGCTGTTGTGCGTTTGTTTTAGATGTTTTAGTTAATATCGTAAAATATTGATTTGTACCGCGTTCTGGACGGAACACTATTACTTTGCCCCTTTCTACAGAATAAAACTGCAGATAAATTTTGTTTTTAATATTTTAAAATATCATACTCTCGTGGAATTGGTTTGTCTTTGTATCTAGCGGAAAACAGAATGGAACTATTTTCTCTTTCAACTGTAACCTGGACTAAACATTAACTATCATCAATCAGTTCCTGCTTATAGTCTTGTCTGAAATCTAGACTGATCCACCAGTGCCTGCCAATACTGTGGCTATGCCTGTAGCCTAACACCAACTCTGATCCATAAGCTCCTGCCAATACTGTGGTTATGTCTGTAGCCTAACACCAACTCTGATCCATAAGCTCCTGCCAATACTGTGGTTATGTCTGTAGCCTAACACCAACTCTGATCCATAAGCTCCTGCCAAAACTGTGGTTATGTCTGTAGCCTAACACCAACTCTGATCCATAAGCTCCTGCCAATACTGTGGTTATGCCTGTAGCCTAACATCTACTGATCCATAAGCTCCTGTCAATACTGTGGTTATGTCTGTAGCCTAACACCAACTCTGATCCATAAGCTCCTGCCAATACTGTGGTTATGCCTGTAGCCTAACATCTACTGATCCATAAGCTCCTGCCAATACTGTGGTTATGCCTGTAGCCTAACACCAACTGATCCATAAGCTCCTGCCAATACTGTGGTTATGCCTATAGCCTAACATCAACTGATCCATAAGATCCCGCCAATACTGTGGTTATGCCTGTAGCCTAGCATCAATTCTGATCCATAAGCTCCTGTCAATATTGTGGTTATGCCTGTAGCCTAACATCAACTGATCCATAATCTCCTGCCAATACTTTGGTTATGCCTGTAGCCTAACATCAACTGATCCATAAGCTCCTGCCAATACTGTGGTTATGCCTGTAGCCCTGTGTGTGCACCTTGAGACCGCCTTACACTTGTATTATTGCTGTGTTCTCCTGCACTGTGTCAGTCTACAGCTCAATGTCTCGCCCGTGGTACGACTATCCTACAACAAAGACAAGATGGCGGTGGGGCTGGGATGTCAAGTTGAGATTCTTATACCTGGACGAGTTGTCTTTATGAGAAGGACATGGACTGCACATTTTGTCTTAGATAACACGATTAAATAAAGACAGAATCACATTGGGATTCTTAAACCTGACTGGGAGCACTATTATTTTTTTAGAGGTGAAGATATTCATTTGAACACTTTTAAGTTAATAGAACGTGAGATGAAAATATTCATATTTGCACATTAATATACGGTTGATAAATGACCTGCAATTTCTCGGCCTGTTGCGCATTTTACTTGGCAAGGGTAATACATTATCTCCCCTATGTGAATACAATAAAATGTATCTAATACAAGGGAAAGAATAAATAAGAAACAGTTTAAATATTTTCAAACATAAATAAATTACACGATTTGAGACTGTGACTTTTTTTTTAAAAATATAGTGTTTATTTATTAAACTAAGTGTACATTTTTATTTTCACGTATAAAAAGTGTAGAAGTATTGTAATCGTGCGAAAAATCGAATTCGACATTTGACCTCATTGAGTCGGGAAAATATAGTTTTTGCTGTGTGTGTATGTATGTGTGTATGTCTGTGAACACGATAACATGAGTACCGTTAAAGATAGGTTGATAAAATTTCATATATAAGTAATTTATCACATTTGTAGATCTGTATCAACTTTTCAGCAATTTGCGGCAACCGGAAGAGGAACTTATTCTACTTTTGGTTTTTCAACAGCCTACAACTAAACGAAATTTCACATATAAGTAAAAGATCTAATGCTCTGCCTTCTGTCATATTTTGAGTAATTTCCGTTGATCTGAAGTATTAACTAACGCTATTTCCGATTTCTCAAAAAAAAAGGAATATGAATTTATAAAGAACAAATATTCCGCAAATTTCTGTTTGTGCTTTTTTTCTGTGTGCGCATTTTTCTCTTTGCGCATTTTTCTGTGTGCACAAATTTCTTTTTGCGCTTTTTTCCGTTTCGCTTTTTTTCGTTGCGCATTTTTCCGGTCACCCTAAGCTGACATAAAAGCTAAAAGAAAGAAATATTTAGCGAATCTAAGAAACTTAATAATATATTTCTTTAATGAAATACATATAGATGAAACTCGTAAAAAAATCTAACAATACCACATTTTTGTTTTTTATTTTTTCAATCTTATAAGTATAAATACCAGCAGCGAATATAACTATAACTCAGCCATCCATATTTTAATAGCTGAACATTAAAAATCAGCTTACGGGCAAAAATAAATTAGCAATTTTCAGGATTTGTTAGGATATTCACGATATATTTAAATACTGATAATAAAATGTTGACAAATATTCAGTTGAATTAATTTTTGGAACCGTATTAAAAACAATAATTGAGGCTTTAAAGATAAAACAGTTGAAGGCGTTTAAAAATTTCTGTTAAACAATAGCTTCTAAGGATTATAAGAAAGAAAGTGTGAATGAAATAACTGAATGTATTTTCTATGGCTGTCAACAAATTATCCAGACTGAGAGAGAGAATCAGGCGTCCGTCAAAAAAAAAAAAAAAAAAAACAACTCTACGGTGTGTAGCCTACACTTTTCTTGGAAAAAAAAAACAATTTACTTAGAAATAATGTGTCATGTAATTTACTTTTTAATAATCAAGGGAGACAACAATAACACGTTGTTTCTAATAATCTATGTGATATAAAACGTACAAAAATAACAATATATAACAAGCTCAGTCAAGTGGTTCTTTTCGACGAATAAATAATTATATGTTGTTAGTAGGTTGGTGTAATCAAATTCTTACACATTATTTAAATATTTATTTAAAATATATTTTATTTAAACATAAAAATGCGAATAATTCTAATTGCGTTTTTTGACAAGTAATATTTCTGATTTTTTTACGATTTAGTTTGTAAATAGTAAAATTATAGATCTACTAGGCATACTGCCTAGCTTCGCTTAGGTTTTGAAAAACATTTGATAATTTGAATACTAATTATTTGGTGATGGATGAGGCGTGGAGTGCTTGAATCTAAACAGTAATGATAATTTTAGAGAAGATGTTGTAAGTCCTTAAACATCCGCTTTCAGAGAAAATATTCGAAAGTACGCAATTTATAACGAAAATGGACATAGAACTACAGAGGTTCCATGAACAGTATATCTCATAATTTATATTACATTGACTTTTAAAATTAATTTTTTATTTAATTATGATACGATGTTTAATTAACAACTTATTTTTTTCTAAAACAAATGCTATACTTTGTCATTTTCTGTTTCTGTTTAAAATAGTATATAATTATTTGAAAAATAACTATTTAAAAAGGTTACCTCCCTTGAAAATTAACCGAATGACGTATGTCTGTGTTTACTTTTTTTTAAACAAAGTTACTATACTTATATAAGAAAATACGATATATAAATACATTTAATGACTACAATGGCTTTTTCCGACAGGAAAAAGTTTTTTTGTTACCCACCAGGGTCGGTCTACGACCTCAAATAATATTAAGGGGATCGATCGTCAATTTATTTATATATATCTCATATAAGGAGAATTTCACTCGCGGTCATCTTTTAGCACTGGTCGAGGGCTTTGAGTCTGACCAACAGTTTTTCCATACGGCCTAGTCATCTATAGAAATGTATGCAAAACATTAGCATGATGTACAGAGGTTAAGTAACGTAAAAATT